GTATTTGCAGTAGTTACCTATATAAATCCATTACACATTTACACTAGTTAGTAGTACATGTATTACAACTGATCATTTTGCCATTTACAATTGTAATTTAAAATGCAAAACTAAGAATATTCACCTAGGAAAAGAATGGCAGGAAGTTTTTGTACATCATATTTAGCATTAAATTGAATATATTTTGACCCTACAGATAATGAAATTTGATTGAAGTATTCAATTGAAGGAAAAAAATCATTAAATAATAACATAAATGATTTTATGATACTCGAGCAATACTGTTTCTTATTGATAAAATCCTTAATAAATGTCATATTAAATTATGATATGACAATCATAAACTAAGTTAAAACTAGTCAAGATTTTTTAAGTTTACCAATATATCATTATTTAATATGTAGATTGCTAGGTTTCTGCTTTCAGCTATCACAAATATTAAATATGAAATCAGACAACTTTTTTTCAAAATATTTTAAGGATTTAATATAGTTAGAGTGTTGCACACCGAACAGTAGTGCTTGTTTAAAATTATTGAAAAAGGCTTTAATCAGGCACTTAAACCTATGTCAGATAGGGAACTAAGGAATAATGCATGCATGTATATTGAAATATAAATATATTAGGAACAGATATTTTTACACTTACTGTAAGTTATAGGTACAATTTAAAGAATTACAAGATGATATACAAGTTAACTAATAGACATTGTTTGTCGATGATCAAACATTATATATAAAAACCCTTAACAGGAAACTTGATTTTCTGTCGATTTCCTGCACACCTGCACAGGTAGATACATACAACTTGAATCATGACCAGCAAAATTTGCCTCTTCAATGCATTTCTTAACAAACACGGTATTTAAATAAAAAGGACTTAGGAACCAAATCAAGTGTAAAGCAAACAAGGTTTATGGAAGGTCAAATTCATTGCTAAGCTTTTAAGGGCCTTACCCAAATGAAACTTACAAAATATCTCATTCACAGATTCACAGTTTAGAGAATATTTCTTTTACAGGATTGGATAAGTTTATGCAACTGTTAAACGTTGTCATCATAATTATTCAGTAACAAAGAAACATGATAACAAGATAATAACATCCATCACCTATGCATGAAGAATCAATCCATTTTGTGCATTCTGTTGTCATATTAATAAACATAAATCACTTCATTTATTGGTATTTAAAACAATTGTTCTACAACAATTAACCACACAAAGATATTGCAATCAGTATCCAAATCTCATTTTGTATAGCAAAATGTCTACTCCTCCAAAACAAACAAACAACTTATAATTTGAGTTGCTGTGAAGGACATGTATATAAATATTACTATCGGTAAATTATGATAAAAGTCAAAAACATCGTCAGAAGAACATTATAACTGAAGACTTTTACAACATTTGATCATCAACTTATCATCTACTCGGCCCTTCACTCCCACCTGTAAACAATAAATGATACCATTACAAAGCACGACTCCACCAGACGCTACCAATTAACTCAAAGAAAATCAAACTAACTGTGTATAAATCCCATATATATTCACCTTTACCTTAAAACTATCTTTTCATAAACAAAGACTTCAAAAGAATACTTTCTTTCATCTACTTTTCATGAAATAATTACAGAATAATATAATAACTTGATCATGAGGAAGATATTATAAGATAACATCATGCTGAATTTATTAATTTACTTCTCAATCCAATTTGTGTTCTTTCGTGAAGTTTGCTTTAAGAACAGAGTGAGACTGTTATGTGTATTTGGTATCAACAGATTGTTGTGATAATATATCCTCAGTTTCTCCGACAGTTGCTTTGTCGGAGTACATTAAAATTTTATAGTACAGCTAAACTATATTAAACTGCAACATATGTATCTGAACAGAGACCATATTTATAAAAAAGTTTTGTAAATTTTAGGAATTGTTCTCGGGGTCCAAAACGATGAGTTAAAGACAATGATAAAGACTTTCAAAATCAACAAAACCCTGAATAAAAAAAGATGTTTTAGAATGAAATTTTATAAATTGATTCCTTAAATTAACAATACATGCCCTAGACTATACTTGATCTTACAATGATCCGTCTTAGAACGAATTTTAAGTTTATTATCTGCCGATGACAGAGTGATTGGTGATACATTACAATACTCCAAAGCCATTTTACTGGTACAACATTTCAACCAATGACATCACAGCCGTCAGAAGAAAAACTGTACCATTCCTCATGCCATCTGTATGTTGGCCGTGTGTGGATTGTAAAAAAGTAGGTCTGTGCTCCCCCATGTTTTTAATCACCACCCTCCCTCATCTGTATGCTCTGTGTGGCACGAAAGATAAGCCTTTCCACCCTCTTATCTAGTCCTGCAGAACACAATTTGATGACTCAAGCAGCTTATCTGGTGCAATCACTGATGCATTGCTAGCGATGATCCAACATATACCAGGCTTTCAAAACAATGAACTGCAAGAACTTTTGAAACATTGAGTAAATTTCACACATTTTCTAGTGATGTTCAAATGTGTGTTCACCAATCTTTCAAACCAATGCACTCGAAGAACTTTTGGAAAATTTAGAAAAGTTCAGAAGTTATTTATATATAATATAGGGGGATTTCTTAGCAAATCTCAAATCGATTTTTGAATTCGCTGTCGATAAACAAATTCAACTGAAATTGTTGGTACGTACTATCTGGTGAAAAGATAATCCAACATTCATAGTGTTCAACCTTTACGGAGTGCATCTTTTTCAGGATATACCACACCCCACACAGGATCAGAGGACACTAAAAACAACTAAAGGGTAAGACCCCTTTCAAAGGGTGTACAGTAACATGTTATTCACCATGGTTGACAACACCTAAAAATGACAGACCCCTACGTCACCTGATATGGGGGCACAATCCAAGGCATTGTCCCGATTATCTGACCCTGCCAGCAAAGCTTCGTGGCCATGGGGTCAGTACGGTCAACTTCAAAAGACTTTTTTAAAAACCCTTAATCGAAAAATGAATCATCTACATGTAAAAGGGCTTAAATATTTATACTAATTACTTGTATGACAATTTGTAGGTTTTTCAATTGCACAGCACTGTTGTAATATTCCTTAAGGCAAAGAATTATTTTATTTCATTTAAGCTGTTTACATGGGAAGACCATAAAGTAGTATAGGCCCATTCACACTTCCATGTAATTTATAAAACACTAAATATACTGAGATGGTTTATGCACTGTCAGAAGAAAATTTACTTCACATTCAAGGGCATGTAGCTCATTTAAATTTTTGATTTATGAATGTGTGAAATGGGTGTGGCTTACAATGATATTTTTAGCTAGTCAGAATGAAAGTAAAACAATGTACCGTTATAGGGTGGAAATACAATGTACAACAATGTTTCAATTGTAGGACTGAAACACAATATAATGATATGTACAGTAATATCTGAGAAAGAAATTAATTAAACTTGATTCATTAACAGATCAATTATAAAGAATGTGAATTTGCATATATATCAAAGCCTTCCTTTAAAATATAGCATGTGTCAAGCATAACAGCTTTTAGTCGTAATTTATGTCACAATATTCCTTACACTGGGGTTCAACACAGAAAGAGGTACCTGCAGAAAATTTCACATTTAAATAGATATTTTTTACCATAAAAAGTAGGTCATATTCAATTCTAATTGACCACGTTATATTGTAGCAAGTGTTAATTTCAAATTCAACAGACTGCTCCAATAACCAATATAAACACACTGTACTCAATGTAAAAAAAAACATTAAGGTGATACAGCACTTTTTTCTCTTTTATTATTTTTTAATTTATGCTGCATACCATAGTAAGGCCTCTCGTATTACCACAATAGAGTTATTTCAGGTCAATTGATCGATTCTGTACGAGTTAACAATGCATAGTAAGACTAATCAGGTTTAACAACTAGAACACACACAACACATTTTTTCTATTGTCTCTTATAAAAGTGACACATTCCAAGGATATTAAAATGAACAGAGCTGTTTTATACACCGATACACTCCTCAATAATTTGCATTATGGAATGTTTTCTCAATATAATCTCTTGATATTTGTTCAATTTCTCTTTCGTTCTGAAGTTTTATACCCATTATCAAGGTCTTAGCCTTCGGATGTGATAAGTAGACTAGATTTTCCTACACAAACAAACATGCTGAAACATACTTCAACTTTTATCTTGGAAAAAACACCAAATGGTATAAACATGAACCAGCGTCAACCATTCTTTTTTTTATAACTTCAATTTGTGTCTTCTTCGGAATATATACTTATATACTTACTCGTGTATTGTTGGTGACGATATTTACATTTAAACATAAAGAGTATAACACTAAGTCCATCAATATATATATACACACAATCTGCCAATTCATCTCACGAATACATATTCTGAAAATATTGAGATTCCCATATGATTTTTTTTTTACTTTCTAGAAAAAAAAATCCTTTTTATCATACTGGTCTTTTGACCTTCATTTGTGAATTTGTCAAAATTAAAAGACATGTAGTTGATTCCGATAGGTCAATTCAAAGATACATGATGTCGTTACAGTTCAATAAACAGACTGTATTTGACCAGTTCAAAAATGATCAAAAACACATTACTCTGTTGACATTTCAGTTAAACATGAACACTCTTATGTATATGTATACAATATATACATGTACATCACATATAATTGATCATAACTGATAACACCAGAGGTTTTCTAATAAATATATTTAATTCATTATAACGAATACTCATGCTTACACACGCGATATTCTCAGCATGTGTGTACTACACACAGTTCAATACACACATACTTAAATTCTGAATCTGTTTACATTTATCTTTTCATTGATTGATGATCATACTTATTTAATATTTAACTTTCACTTTCAAGTACATAAACACTCAGTTAATTTCACGTGTGTACAATACACATTCCAATACACACACGTGCGCAGATACTTACTTTAGATAATATCGCTGACCATCAGGCATCTTCGCAATTTCCCATCCCGGGGGGAGGGGCTCGTTGTCAAGGAGAGCGTCACACGAATGCTGTCGGGCGTGGTGTGCTGGGGCTTGGGGAGGACCCTGGGGGACAGTCGAAAGAGTCTGTTGTAAACTGGCCGGGGACGAGTGAGCTCTCATATGAGCTATTTGGAGATTGCCCTGTGACGGCCCGACCCCCGACGGGTGACCAGGGTATCCCCCAGTAGAGTCATTACTGCCCTGTTTCATGTGCTGAACCGGCCGTTGTGGCTGGTCAGGGGGCTTCCAAAACGAAGCTGGCAGGTTCCTCATACGGAGAGGAATCTGCCCACTTTGTCCAGATTTAGGGTTCATGACGGCATTGAATAGTGCGTCAAGTTCGCTCCCACTATCCTCACGGACGTGAACAACCTGGGTTCCTTTCCGCTCCGTCTGGTCCTGTGACATTTTGTCGACGGGCAAGCACAACACAAAAAAGAAAGGAAATGTCAATATGACCTACTGCAGCAGTATAAATCCCACCATAAGCGAAAACACTACGTAAATCCTGAAGTTTTCCCGGGGAACTTTTCAGTAATGGAGGACACCATTAACTCAGTCGAAAATTTTGCCTTGATGACCGTGCAACTCCTAATTTTGACAGGTTCCCGTCTTACGCGGGACAAAGTAGTCCCCCGTAAAAAATAAGCTCGCTTTACAACTTGGTCTTGATATGATAAAATAACCATTTAGATATCATGTTATATGTATATTTTTTATTCTAAAGTAGATAATAAATATAAGTTGTGCCTAATTTTATATGTTTATATCGATAGTTCGGAATGGGACTTATTTTGCTTCAAATGTGAAAAGGCTAGCGTAGAAATACATGTTTTGACGTCACTCGGAAACGTTTACTCAACCTTGTTAATTTGTTACTCTTGTGTGTAAACTATTGCTCGGAAAACTTTTCCATACAAGTGTTAAACTATATGTTTTCTTAAAATGGTATCCTATACTGTCCCTTGAACTAGAAATATAAGCAAAGCGTATAAATCGTTTGATGAAGAAGTTTCTCCTAAAGGTATACAAACACGCCTATTAAGCCCCTTGCCATATTAGGAAATTTCCGTATCCGCCTGCCTGCCAATCACTGGCAATTGCACCTCTGTTTACCTGCGTAGGTGGGCTTTCGGCAAAGTCCGGTGTGGTCTTTCCCAGTGAATCATTACTATCTTTACACTGTAGTAAGCTAATATTTCTCAATCATGTAAAGGTTTATTCATTCACAAATTACACTAAGAAAGGAGTTTCGACCCAAGTATGCACGGGAATTCCCCACGGGGCTTTGGTGAAAGATGAACATTATGAAATTTGGTATTTACATGTATATATATAGATTATTTATTCATAAAATAAAACGTCATATCTACTTTGTAGGTATGTATTAATTATGGTCCATAACCAAAGGTATGATGACATATATATAATATTATATATATAAATATAAATCAAGTGAGTTTTCAAAAGGTGTCACAATTTAATATGCTATAATGATAAAATCAGAATTCATATAAACGACGGAATTGTTGCATAAACAAGTGGTCTCGACACAGGTGTTTAACTGTCGTTCTATGTCATTTTAACAGATGTTGCTAAATATTTTGCTACCGGTGACAAAACTGTAAAACCGTAATTATACATTTATGCTATTGCGTCGCTTACAGATGACTCAGCACGTGGGTGAGGATCGAAGTTCATTAACGGAAAGAATGTACTCTTTCAATATTCATAAGTAACGCTGATGACGGATGACTGTACCCGCGGAACAGACGCTGTATACTGAAACACTACCATGAATAATGTTTGACAAAGCAAGGGCGTATACCACTCGCCGTACGAATCATGCTTTTGAATTTTTTTCTCCGCATATACGATGCTTGTTTGAAGTACGTTTACGCTAACTGTTATATATGCCGCAAAAAAAATCGCTATATAAATGTCGGTCAATTTGTTTGCGATGTTCATGCATACTTCCACGGAATTAGATTAGGGGAAAGGCAACCGCCTCTTCGGCATAAGGAAATGCTATCTAATTCCGTGATATGCCATAGAACCGCGTTATTTATTTTCAAATGGGGGGGGGGGGCGTTCTTTAATATTTAAGGTTTGGGAGGGGGGGGGGAATTTGAATGTGTTCAATTCGGCTTTTTTCTTTTCTTTTTCGCAATGTCACCAAGAAACATTCAACCTTTTAAAAATACGTGCGCCATATTGCAATTTACGAACTCGGTCGGTGTACTGTTTCTTTACATATATCATTTCCTTCCACTCCCACAGTCGTGTCTATTCCGGGAGTTTTACGCACTTTCTAACCAGTACATTTTTAGCTACCCATGGATACGTTTTCTGTATCAAAAGTCTATAGTCCGAAATAACTGAATATCTCCTCATAAAGTTTTCCAACACATCAAAACATTTGAAAAGAGATGGTCATTTATTTCGGACAATATAAGCCTACAAAGATGATATAAGACATCGAGAGAGCGTAACTCTTGAAATCAGAAGATTCCCTGAGTTATACAGAAAACACTTATGTGATACATATATGCATTAGTTCTAGTACAGAAGCTGCTATTTACCTAAGGAAGTAAATGATTCTGATGTAGTCAAGAACGAGTGAATTTATAAATCACAGGACTTATCAACGTTATAATGATAATATTTCCGTTTTACGAAAATCTATTTGATTTTATAACAAAAAGTAATAATCACACGGAAATGTTTACATCTACTTATGAAAGTGTTAGTAAATGACAACAACAACCTACATAGGGTACACTTGTGACATTTCCGCACGCGCGCTGAGATTTTGGACCGGACCAGGACCTAAGGGACACGTGACCGGGTGGACTGCAACAGCTGATAAACCTTTCCCAGCCTCTGAAACCACAGAAAAGAGGTTTTTCCGAGAGCAACACTTACAGGGCTACTTATATTCTCTTCCAGATAGCTACTTTACTTGGTGTATCTGTTCTGGTAGATATTACAATGACTTCAAGTAGGCCGTGTTACACTTGTAATTGACCTTGAACAGACACCAAAAACAAAAACCCTGACTATGCATACAGATGCTTAAACCAGTTCGCCCCTCCCCATATAGGAAAGAAACTATATATATCGGACTTAAGCAAGGCTACCTACACATGGGCCCGTCTATACCCAAACCAACTTTCTTGCAACTCACTTAAACCATGACCTTGAACAGACACCAAAAACAAAAACCCTGACTATGCATACAGATGCTGAAATCAGTTCGCCCCTCCCCGTAAGAAAGAAACTATATATATCGGACTTAAGCAAGGCTACTTACACATGGGCACGTCTATACCCAAACCAACTTTCTTGCAACTCACTTAAACCATGTAAAACGTTCAAAAAGTCAAATGTAATCGTTAAAAACAGCATTTTGCCTGAAGTATCTTCAATTTGTTTCCAATAAGATTGTTTTTAAATGTGTAACCGGAACAAGAAAATAGGCTCGATTACAAAATCCATGCTTGAGCATGAGAATGATCCAATGAATACGGGCCCTGAACGTATTACCAGTACCAGAAGAAGCTTTGCTTGAGTCAACCGACATTCAGTAAACTTATTTTATTAGATTTCTGATAACATAACACAACAAAAATTCAGAAATAAAAGAAAAATTTGTTTTATTTAGCACAGGTAGAATTCAGCATTTAAATTGTCATAAGTGATAAAGTAACATATCAGTCAGGTAGACTTAATTTTCGATATCGTCGCTCTTCAGGCAGAGAATGTCAATAATTAACTAATGTATTTATAGCTATGGAGATGGGGGGTTTTGTGGGTTTTTTTAAATTTGTGTTTTTATACATATACAATTATATGTTGTACGTCTTTTAGGAAGTTGGAATTAAAAAAAATATATATATTGCAGAAAAGCACTAAAATAACAAACATTATCTCCGACAGCGTATAGTACGCGTAGTGGATACAGGCTCCCTGCTTTGTATAATCAAGATGTGCTGGGATCGAATCCCAAAAGCGGAGGTATTTTGTGAATAGGGAATTAAAGATATGTTTCTTCCGTATTTAACTCTTCGCTATGGTAAGTGGGCAAGCAGCTCCAATCCAGAAAGTTGACGAATAAATTAGAAACCTTCTTTATTGGAGATCCAAGACAGATCGTCCTGACTCTCTACCTTAAATGGTAATGGAGTAGAAAATTGCCATCTAATTTTGACCGAAATACCTTTAACTAGAGGTATTAATACTGGTATGAGTTACAGGTGTCATTGGTGGGTATCATATTATTAATTATTGTTTAGTACCCATACAAGTCGTCGAAGAAAAGCGGTGTACTGGGGTTTAGTGATTTTCTTTCCGCTGATAGCGTTCAGTGCTTCCAGGGCAACAACCCTTTAAGATAATACTGGTTTCTTAAGAGCCAGTTGTCGTGCTCGTTACCCTTTCTGATATTTTAAACCATGTTTTTGCATATAGTTTTCACAACTTGGTTTGTAGTAAGTTTAGACAGGTTAAGTTGAACCAAATTACCACCTGCAGAATCTTAAAGTCAAAGTCTGAATGATGTTACTGTGCAGTGAAGTTCGTTGTTTGTGTCATTTTACTGATCACCCGGTCCATAACAAGACGGTATAAAAATAGGGTCTGATTGTAACGGAGACGGATACTTTAAACGTCCCCGAAACTGCCCATGTAGTAACTGATAATGCACCGGAAAGAGTTTGGAATGCCATAATACACTTACACTCACGTTGATCAGTGAGATGAGAGTTGATGTTTTTATTTTTATTTTTCTCACTTGACTGATTTGCGCTTTCGTTTTCACTACCCGAGTTCTCGATGTGAGGACGTGGCCTTACTAACATTTACACGACAGGTGTCAGCGATGAAGCAGGAGGTGCTTTGCCTAAGTTGTAACGAAAACCTAGCCAAATTCTTCAATTTCACATTCGGATACATCAACGATGTACTGTTTTTGAATAACAAGAAATTCATTGCCCACATCGATACCCGCCTTTGTTTGAAATCAAGATCACCACAGCCTTTTCTATTTCAGCCGATTTCCGCGATCTTAACTTACAACATTACCAAAAACGACCGGTTACTGCTAAGCTTATTAAGAGCGATTTTTTCGTCTTTCCGGTCGTTAGCTTTCTCTTTCTTGATATCAACATCCACGCTTCCCCTTCGAATTATGGTTGGCACTTAGGTATTCTCTAATTCATCTTTTAGTTAAAACAGACACAGAGAAGGACCATTGGCATCAATTTGGCGTACACCTATAAATGTGATAATCAATCAGAGACCACGATGACCAAGCAAATGAACTCGATAAATAGCGACAGTGCTTTGTATTTAATTCTCCGAAATTCATCCTAATCTTCCCTAATTCTTTACCCACTTATGGTATTATTTGTACCGTGTATGATACATATTTATTATTTATAATTATTGCCCCATTACTTTTATAATGAACATATTATCCATTATCGATACATCATACCTAGAATCGAATCCGCGACCCCCGGATACTGCAGGAACAATCTCTTCCAACGGGAAACATATCTTAATTCGACGCAACATTTAGATATTCCCCCTGCGGTATAGACTTTTCCTGTGTTTATTTGAGTTTGAGTCACCAGCTTGTTCTATTATGGAGAAAAAAGTGTTGTCCACATTTAAGCGTAACATAACAGGGACGTCCTGTCCCAATGAAGCTGTCGAACTTTAAAACAAGTGAGAATTGCGACTTACCAAAAACAAACTCTCAGCTGATTAAGATTCGCTTGATCTTGGAACTTTATGCGGGCAACAGGTAGCGATACAGAAGTTGTTATCTAGGGTGCGAACTGCATTCTGTGGTAAAACACGTTTGCATTTTCTCACCAAAGTTTTATGACGTTACCATGGGAAACAGTAAGCGAGGACGTATCACAGCAGAAACACACTGACAATTGAAAATTACATTCGTCAAGTACAGCCACTCGAGTTAAGTAGACCTCTTGAAACATATCCGGAGTATGGCTTATACTTGCCGATTAGGTGTGTTCAAAGTCCGCCTGTTCAGACAATAAAAAGACAATACATTGTTTAGAAAAACAACATGTTGTGAATAAACTTGACGTCAAACGACGGTATTTACGTCATACTAACATCCAGGTGTATTACAAACACGTCACATGATCTGTGACATAACCACATTAGGTAGTCACTCCACTTAACTACTGTATACAAGCCCTGGAAACTTATTTTCCTGTTAAACATACGCTATTTCCTCTATACTACTACTAAACAATTAAAACGTTCATACTTTTAAAACAGTCTACGCTATTTTCATAAAGTTGCAGAATAGAATATAACATAACAATATCATCACTGGAAGTAGAACCTTTTGGGTTTGAGGATCACATTCCTGTTGCTTAGTGGTTTTTTTTAGACTTAGTTTGTTTTTATTCGGTTAAGCGACCTAGTAACAGCTAAGGTCATAAAAGATCGTGCCCCCGTGTATGTTTGTTTGATGTGGTATGTTGTTGTTTTTGTTTCTTGGCGATAGCGCGGATCTCGTGACGACTTCAGAGTGCTACTTCACCGAAATACCATGCCGAAGGCACCCAGCAAAATATTCAACCCGGTAACAGTAATCGGTTTTAACCTGTTGCTGCGATTACCCTACATGCTGAACGTTTTGAAGGGAATAACAATTAATAGTTCAACACTAAGTCCAAAATTGAGGAATCGCCAAGCAAGGCGCTAGGCAACAAAAAGGTAGAGAGAAAATGAAAGAGATCGAAAATGTTGCAATAGGCACAGCAGATTAAGTTTGTAAATTATGTGTCCCCAATAAAAAGATCTCCACTTATGCAAGGGGTCCTCACATTGGTTGCCTCTTTCAACGAATACATTTCTTCTGTGTGTATTAATGGGCATGCAAATCCGTGTCAGAAATGCCGAACAAATTGGAACTCTTGTTTGTTGGAGATACAACTATCACTTTGATTCTCTACCTTAAGGTCAAAAAAGTGGCTGGCTGTAAATGATAAATTGAAAAAGAACAACACTTTTGATAACACCCTTATGAAGATGATCATTTCAATGTGTACAGTCATATGTCTATAAATGATTTTGCAATGGTCGTTTGTGCGTTCCCTGCTACTTTTCTGGACCGCTCTAAGATTTTAACGCGTTAACGTTCCAAACGGTTTTACTGGTTCGACCAAAGTTTACATAAAGGAAAAAGAGACGGACGTAGTGATCTGATACCACTTTATGTGGAGCCGTGAAAACACTTTCTGTGCCTGCCTTAGCATTTACATGTCATCAGACTTTATCTATGAAATATTACATAGTCGCTTAAATAGTGCATGTATACGTGATATCAAATGTATGAAAAATATTTTCTTGACTTTGTGGATTTTAAAAATAAGTTACAAGTTATAATTGTTATGTTAATATGTCGAAAAGAATTTCAAATGACTGTCGTTTCAACAACCGGGAGTTTCCACTCCGCTGAACCTTGTCCACTTGTTGTTTAAAAAAGTGGAGACACAAGGTTAAATTTGTCAGTATTACAAAGCAAGAAAACAGTTCAGATATGTTAATTTTCCGTGCTTTTGCTAATCAAATTGTTACAAAGACTGTATTATAAATCGTCAATAGAAGATTTAAAACGTTTTGTTAATATCAATAATTTTAACGAATCAGTCTAAATGGAAACGATTTGGAGATTCCCCCTTTTTTTTTTTATTCCTTACGAATTTTATTCTAGAGGAGAAGATTTTTTATTTTTATTTTCCCGTCATGTGATCAATATAATCAAATCGCTATTATACAGCGATGAAACATGATTACACAAGCTACATTTTATATGAGATTTATGAAACGAATATAATAACTGGGCATTTCCGTCAGCGAGCCTTTGCCTAGCCTAAATTATGAAATTGGCAAGTTTCATATAAATATATTTCATATGAAATATAAACAAACTAATTTGTAACACGATTATGAGATTTTTCGAAATTTACGAAAAATTCCGCCCTCTTCATTCTGGATGTTTTGTCTTCGTTGCCATTTTGTAATACATACGTTAGACTGTGACGGCATTTCATTATCATTTTAGGACCTTACAATAGGTCATAGTACACGAAACATTCAGCGCAATTTTACGCAATGATCACGTAACGCCACTTTTTCCAACGTCATTTTGTTTGGTGCAAATTATCCGGAAGCAAATTGAATACTAATTCGGTGTAATGACTAAAACCGTTTTGCAAAAAAATACAATATGCATATTTAAGAACACCTATAGGTATATACATGTAGTTTAAACATATTTTATTGTACAAATATGCAAATGAATCGGAACACAAGTTATTACAACTTTATAGTGTCCTCTCCTCAATACATATTGTAAAAAAAATAGTGTATATGTTTTTAGGGAAAGGGAAACAGATAGGTTGAGGAAGGTAATGAGGGGTAGGAGGGGGTGGGGGTGATGGAGGGGAGGGGTGTTACCTAGAAAAGTAAACGTGTAAACTGAGAAATCGATCCGCATTTGAATACATTTTTTTCATTTGAAACAATAACAAACTGGACTATCAACCAGATTTACTCTAAAAAGATCATATTTCAATGGACTACACTGATGTCTAAGTTTCGTATGCAAAATGTTCAATTTACGTTCACCGAAACCTAAGTATATTTGTGGAGGAGATTGTACATTTGAAGTTAACGAGTTTTTAAAAGAATGTAATGAGGGCAATGATCGTACTGAAAGGTTCAATGAATTCCAACCGCGAAGAGTTGAAGGTATACAAGATGAATTTGTTAGAGAAAGCTATAATCATCATTGTTTCTAAGGGTATAACGGTTATTTTCTGCAACGGAAGATGGCAATAGAGAATTTAAATAGTCTGGAGTTAATTTGTTGTGCATTTTATACAAAAGTTGGAGTTTTCTGCTTTTTCTTCTATTCGTTATCATTTACCTGTGGTAGGTTTTAATTCAGTGGTAGAGCGTCCGCCTAGGAACCTGGAGATCTAGGGTTCGATCCCCGGTGGAAGCACATGATTCTCTGTCCCGTTACATACCGTTAAATCATCGGTAAAGCATTACTATAAGCATTTTTTCTTATAGAAAACTGCTGTTACGTCACAAAACCGTTACACAGCAATTACCATGTTTTGTAGTATGCATTTTCTACACAAAAAAAAAGATTAATTAGAACATTCAAATAATAAATTTTAAGATAAACGACGAACTATGAAAAAAATGCGAACATTTATTCATTATTGAAGAAAAAAAAAGTAATTACTGAAACTGCTGTAAGGCAACACGAGTTACTGCCCTTGATTAATTACAAAACCGGAAGCTGAAATTTAAAGATGGCCGACCAGAGATACTTTCACACCCACTCGAGAGAAGTCACTTTGTAGTTATCATTCTAGACACCAGAATGAGCTTCCATGTGTTGACTGTCAGGTTTGTCGCCGACAAGAACTGTTTTGTTGCCCTCGCGCCAGATGTTAGCAAAGCTGCATCAAAAAATGGAGAGGTAAAACATAATTTTTAAGCGTGGCATCTCCGAAATAAACTGTCTGCATCCATTTCTTTATATTATTATAGGTTATTCTTCATTTATTTTTAAAAGACTATGTGTTAAGTAACAAGAGCGTCATCTAACCATACCATAAAACTAGCCTAGATATCCTTTCAAAGTCCTTGTAACTTTAACTATCTGGCTTTCATCAAGGTACTTTATAGCCTCGTCTGTCAATACACCCATAATATAATGTTATGGATGTAATGACAGAGGTGACTGTGCGTTAATGATTATACTTTGGGGCTACTGTAACAGTAGAAAGATAATTGGGATTCGAACCCCGGATCCTCCGAACTCTTAGACAGACGGAACTACAATTGGAACTACATGGATGCCGGCCGGTGCTCATAACGGTCACTACATTCCTCCCTCCTTTTTCTAAGTCTCTGTCCCATATTAAACAGCTACATATATTTACAACCTAGGTTCAGATATCCCCTTGCAAGTTTAACCCCAACATGGATTGGCATGCTCACCACTAACAGGAAAACACAGTCAGATTGGGATTCAAACCAAGGACCCTCTAATTGCAAACTCTAGTAATTAGGCACTCTACCAATTGAGCGACCTGGTACATAGATGGTGATCATCCCAGTCCAGTTCTGCTTCACAACCAACAGTCTTAGACTCGGGAATCAGATCATCTGGGTCACCATCAGATTTGACTGATTATCCTCTTGTCTAGCCTGAAATATCAGGTCCCAGGTTCGAACCCTGGTCTGGCTGTTACATTTTCTCTTTCTCTTGTTACAAAATTGGTGAGCTTGCAAACCCTTGTTTCAAGCATTGGGGTTACACTTAGCAAGGGGATACCTAAACATGGGATGTAAATAGGTGGGAAGACTTAGAAAAACGAGGGTGGAATGTAGCGAACTGGACTGGGTCAATGGTCGGCGACCAGGTAGCTCAATTGGTAGAGCATCCATCTAGAGTATGGAAGGTTCAAACCCTGGTCTGGCCGATATATTTTTTCTCCTTCCCCTGTTACAGAGATAGATAATAGATAGATAATAAATGTAGAAACTTGCATTATGTCAAAATACTCTAGGTTGAATAAAACAAATTTCATTGCACTAGGGAAAACTGTGATTTACTATATTTATCCATGCTAATGAAAACTTGTGGAATACTAAGTGAGAAACTGATGTTAAAATAATTTATTCTAATTTTCCTGTAGGTCAGTGTATTTGAGTTGACTTTTGGAGATGATTCAAAAGTGTTTGTAAGCTGGTCAGGGGAGATAATCCGAACCAACACTGGAACAGATGGTGTACTGCAAATCAACGGACTGTACGGGAGCAAGCTGGGATTGAAGGATGGAGATCAGGTATTCTTTTTATAACCACTGAAAAGTTATCTTGTATACCTGTGTAAATTGATTACTTGATATAAGTATCTACTCTTCCAGTGAAAGCTTCCTATGAATAACAAGCACCTGTCCAGATCACCATGGTGGATAATTAATATTTAAAGGCAATATATATTATATGTTAACCATAAATAATTCAAAATGGATTCTAACTTATGCATAATGCTTCTGACTTTTGTGGTCACCATTTATACCTGTCTACAGCAGTCACCTTTCAAAATTCCACATGTCTATATTGTCATCTTTCTATGACATAGACTTGTTCAAGGTGGTCACATTTAAAAAAAAAACGGTTATTGATTTACAGTGAGCACCTTTGACTTTTTATAAAACACACCTGTATATAGTGGTCATATTGTCTATTAATGCTGTAAAAGTCTATTATAGTAAACTTTCTATCAAATATACCTGTCTATTTTATTCACCTTTCTTTATTAGTACAGGTGAATTAAAGTCACCTTTCTATAAATACAGCTCAGAGCTGTCTTTTGTAATCAATTTTGTATTTTAAATACCTGTAAATTTAGGTCACCTTTCTATAATACACCTGTCTATTGTAATCACCTTTGAATTTTGAATACCTGTGAATTAAGGTCACATTTCTATAAATAGACCTGTCTTTTGTAATCACCTTTCCATTTTGAATACCCGTAAATTTAGGTCACATTTCCTTAAAAAAACAACTGTCTATTATACTGACCATTGTATTTTAAATACCTGTAAATTAAGGTCACCTTTCTATAAATACACCTGTCTATTGTAATCACCTTTGTATTTTGAATACCTATGAATTAAGGTCACCTTTCTATAAATAGACCTGTCTTTTGTAATCATCTTTCCATTTTGAATACCTGTAAATTTAGGTCACCTTTCCTTAAAAAACACCTGTCTATTGTAATCATCTTTGTATTTTAAATACCTGTAAATTAAGGTCACCTTTCTATAAATACACCTGTCTATAGTAGTCCACTTTCTCTAATACATACTGTACCAGCCTGTCACCTGTCTAAAACTAACACCTGTCTATAATGGTCACCTTTCTATAGCATGTATCTTTCTACACCAGTTCCTCAATTAAAACATGATTAAAATACACATAAATATAAGAACACTTTAAAAGGATGTTTAATCCATCATGTATTGCAATTTTTTTTCACTTTTCCCAAGGTAATTGTACGCCACATCCCCGGTGTCCATGGTGCCACACGAGTTGGAGTGGAGCCATTGTCAACTGACGACTGGGAGATACTTGTAAGTACACAAACTCTATCAAAGGAACTGTTAGGTCAACACATTTAGACTTCAGAAATACAAAGGTAACACTTATGAATTCTAATTGTAATGTCCAAATGCAAGGAGGGCACAGGTTTATAATATATGGTAATTTGGTTTCCTTCTCTCAATAGAATTTAATGGAATGAAATATTGAAAGCTGTGGACAATGAATGATCTTATACATGTGTGGCATATTTTAACTGTACATATAATTAAGGTTGGCTTCTAGCTTTGAGCTAGAGGGAATTTCCCTTTAGCTCAGTGGTAGAGCCTCCGACTAGGAACCTAGAGATCAAGGGTTCGATACCCGGTGGTAGCACACTATTCTCCCCCTGTTACACATGTATACAATAATGTCCTGCATACTTACTGTATTGTGGAACAGCCAACAAGAACTAAATTATATATATGTATATTATACTGATAGCATTTTGTTGAAATGGCACCAGATATCCTGCTCCAACAGTTTGCCCATGGGTAATACATTGAAACAGTTATATTATTAAAGGGGAACATATATGTGCTGGTGTATTGATCATGGTATTTCCAAATTGAATACCTAGGTAAAACTGGGGAGATGGCACCCTGTTCCACATAAGTAATTAAAACTGTGTTTTGTGTTCCAAATTCAATTGAGTTTTGATTGATTCAAGTGAAAAAACTGTATAATATTGTTTATGTTTTTGATTTGCACCTTAGAGCATACAAGAGGGTGGGGGGCAGAACATATTTGACACTTTATTAAGGGTTGGTGGGATGTTTTATTACTTTTCTTATACAAAATGTATATGTTTGAGAAGAAAAAACTGAGATTGCTGAACTTTTTATAGGAGCGACATGCAGGCTACATAGAAAGTCACCTGCTGGACCAGGTTAGAGTTGTATGGAAAAGTCAGATCTTACCTGTGTGGGTGGAGAAATCTACCTGTGTCTTCCTTAAAATAGGTAAGTGATACATCACCCATGTGTCTTCTTGGTTGATAGTCTGTATTTGTTCCCAATTTTCAAACAATTTCACATTTATTCAGTTGATCTTGATGACCCCTGCTATGGAGCAGTGACTGTGAAGGTGACAATCATATTTTTCTGTGTCTGTCTGTTTGTCCTTCCTTTCATTGGGAATCCAGGGGGATTTTTTTGGTCTTAAATCAGTGCTTCATTTCAAAGTATGTTAACTTAAAATACACAGAATCTCTAATGTGATATCGCATATCACTGACTTGGTATAAAGTGAACCCTGTATAAATCTGCCAAGTAGGTTTGGTTAACACAGATTAAACTGTGTATGCCTCTGGAGACAATCTTAACATTCCTATTTTAACAGGTACAGTTGACCCTGACAGAAGCTGTGTGATTCTGAAAAATGAGACCGAGGTGATTGTGTCGCCAAAGGTCAGAAATACTGGAAACATGGGCATGACAACCAGCGGAACGTCAACCAAATCCAGTCAATCACGCGAGTCCTTCAAAGGTCATTTCAAAAGGTTATCTAGCACCAGTGGCATCAGCGAGGACAGTAAACAAAGCTCAAAAGCAGGAAGTCGACGAGACTCTTCCGATGGAGGGGGGCCATCGTCGTCATCAGAAAATGGATCACCATCTCGATGGGGCTGGAAGGAGCTTGTACCTTGGATACTCGGGGTACAGAAAATTAACGCAAAGTTACAAAGCCTCTCTGCAAATCTAGATCGTACAGACTTAGGACAAAAACCAGACAAGTTCCCAGTGGGTATCAACATTGTACTGCGTGTTCAGTCTCTCAAGGTGACTTATGATATACTGGCTAAAAGTTTAAAGGACAGTTTCAAAGATGAATTGTCAGACTCAAACGAAAAATCCCTGTTTCTTCAGCAGCCTGCTACAGTATTTGTTAATTACAAAGATATACATGATCAAACTGACAGAGAACTTACTGAAATTCCGACATTTTTCTATGCAAGATTGTCAAAACTGAACTCGCCAAAGGAGGAACTGGAAAAGGCTACTACCCCGAAAAAGGAAAAAGATGAAGAACCTGTGGATAGTAAAAAACTTCAGAAAAAATTGAGTGGATCAACAAATTCAATGTCATCAAGCGGACGATCAGATAAAGAGAGTAAGCTTCTGAGCTGTTATGTCAGAGTGGTGGTCATCGATGATAAAAAGATGAGTTGCGATAAAAACTACGAACATATGATCTTGACGCTCTTAAAAGAGCAGCAGTGTATACCTGGTCATGTGATTGTCAATGGTTTGTTACGACGGCTTCTGGAACTTGACGTGACAAGGAGGGTGTGGCTACAGACTGTCGCTCTGCCCCAGTCTAGTAACGCCCCCTACCAGCTATATCCTGTCGGATCTGTGGTAAGACGTAAATTATATTTTGATTTAATCATCAAGTACTGTACATGTCAGAAAGGGAAACCATTTATTTCAAGGAAAATCATAAATTTTTGTCTGCTGAATTTTTGACATTTTATTGTTTGAAACAAAATTGCCCAAAGTACATAGTAAAGCAAAATATTTTTGTGCTGTAAAATGTTTTGCTCATTTTGCATTTCATATAATCATGAAAATAAGCATGTGCAGACATACTTGTACACCATGAAGTAAAGTATGGAGCATCATTGTCTACACCAAAAAATTCTACTTTTACTGTTTGGTTCAGTATGCAAGCTCTCATTCTATTGGTCATTAAGTATCGTTGATTATGTAACCTGTCATTCTATTGGTTCCCAAATATTCTTGATTATGTGACCTGTCATTCTATTGCTCACATTGTCTTAATTATGTAACTGTTTATTCTTTTGATAGCCAACTCAGATGTCTGGGTTTATGATTGTGAAGGCATTTATCAATTGGTTGAAGTATGCCTCAGACAAAAAAATGCCTCTGGTTGTCTTCCCGGGACTAATGGTGAAAATACCTCTTTTTCATTGTAAGTACCGATATTTTTTATGCATGGATAAGGTTCATAGAAAAAGACAACATCATAGTATTATGTCTATGACTGACATATTTTACTCCTCTGGAATGATTATAACCTTGATCCACAAATTATCTGGTTATTGTGTACATAATAACAATGTCCCTGCAGGTAGGGCGTAAGAATTGTACCTGCTGCCCCCAATGCATGATCGCAAGAGGCGACTAAATTTGGGATCTTATCTTTTCTCTTCTTTCTAATTAACTTTCTTCTTCCTAATGTCTCCCTTGACAATGCCTCACTTTTGGCCTTTAGTTGAGCGTTCGCCCCTGTGAGGAAGGCTTTGGGTTCTGTCCCCTGGCCGAGACATACCAGAGTCTGTAAAAATGGTAGTTTCTACTCCTGCTTAACGCTCAGCAATTTAGGAGTGGGACAACTGGTTTGCCCGTTGTCATTATAATGTGACTGGGTGGGGTGTCCTGCTGGGTGTCTTCAGCAGTATGTTTCAGTGGGGTAGCACTATAAAGTCGGCATCAGTTTCGCGCTATCACAAGGAGGCAAACACGAACATATCACAGTCTCCCAAAACACACATGCATACACTACACGCATGCATCTTGCACACAGGGGAGGCCAGCCTTAAATAACCAACGTAATAACCTAAATTTTAAAAAGTCTCCTAGCTAGACTCCAATCTCCCTCCCCCCCCCCCCCCCCCCCCCCCCAACCTTGGTCAATTAATTGGTTTTAGCATCCTTACACTTTTAACAACACACAACACATAAAGGATAAAGGATAAAGGAAGATCATTTATGAAAGAATGGATTATCATCAATAAAATAAATGTATCGAAGGTGATTATTTGCCTCAGCCGGGGGTCGAACCCAGGACCTCAGGTTTACTGGTTTGACAGTCTAACGAACGAGCTAAAGAGAAATTCTCCCTAGCTGAGTTGGTAGAAAGTGGCTAGTATTTTTCCAGCATAACATACTTCCCCTCCAGGAGAGAACTTGTCTGAGATTTCCAGGGGTCGTAGCTATTCTTGTGAAAATGTCATTGAATATATTAGTCAGTATAATTTCCCAGGTCCCTACATGGCCATCAGTGAAACAGCTGTGCTAATTTGTTCAATGTCTCTGCTAGATGGTAGAGCCTGTGATGTTGAGGGATCTTTGGCTTACTAGACTGGTGCTCTACTGAATGAGCTAAAGAGAAATTCTCCGTAGCTGAGTCAGTAGGACTCGGTTAATATTTTATCAGGATGACATCAGTAATGATTTTTATCTTTATAGCGGTAGCCATGGAGTTCCAAGTGACCTACACAGACAGTGCCGACCAGCCAATGACTGATGGTTTCCGGCTGCTGACCACCGAGGACACAGAACGGGTGTCCATCTCGGCCAGTACCAATTATAAGACTACCATCGACACCAAGCTGCCCTTTCGACCCATGCTCCTCTACTCTGACATGTGTCGGGACGTGGCAGATTTTGATCCCTCTGTACCCACTAAAATGCTGCAGAATTTAGGGTAAGGTAATGAGGGAGTAAATCATGTTTATTATACCTTCTATAAAACAGAATTCTGTCAAGATTGTTTGATTTTATATTGATTTCATACACACAGAATATCATTTTGAAAATGTGGTGGTAATCTGGAATAAAACACATTAGCATAACACTTGGTCTAATTAAATAAATAGTTCCTTCCTGGTAGGGCAATATTGAATGTTTGGTAGATTTCAACTGCTCATATATTAAATTACAATCACTTTATACTAGATGCTGGAGGGTATTTCCTTTTAGCTCAATCGGTAGAGTAGCAGACTGGGAAACTTGGGGTCACTGTTCCGATTTCCAGTGGAAACACACAACACTCTATCCTGTAAGATGTATTTCAACACAAAAAAAGGAAAAGTGAACTTTGAGTTAAGTTAGCGGTTAGCAAAGAGGTAACGAAAGGAGTTGCATTGTGTTGAGGTTTCACTGTAACAAGAAAGGAAACAGATTTGATGATTTGTTATGTATATTTATTGGGATTTTCTTTTACAGAGGATTTACTGATTATGCAGAGCAGGCCATACGTCATATAGAGATCTGTTTGGGAAATAGGCCATTAAGTCAGAAAATGTTTAAGGTGACCCACCCTGGAATCAGGAATGGAATGCTCCTAATCACAGGGTCTAAAGGTTGTGGGAAGAGTTCACTGGCACGTGCCATTTGCAGGAGGGTAGCAGAGGTGCCTAATCTTGCCTTTCTCCTGCATGTGGATTGTAAGCCACTTAGAGGTAAGTATAAACCACTACTTACATGGTCCATGGCATTATGGTCACAATTCATACATGGTTCTTGGCAGTATGTTTAAAATTCATACATGATTCATGTCAGACAATATGGTCACAATTCATACATGATTTATGGTACATTTTTATACGTTCGTCAAATTTGACGGTAGTATTATGGTATGGCGTTGTCCGGCCGGCCGGCAATCTCCTCCTACATTTTTCGACCGATCTATTTGAAACTTGGTATACATTATAATCATGATATGAAGTTGTGTCTCCCTAAAGAGAATTTTGATTTGACAATTTTTCCAAAAGTTATTGCCCTTTGTTCATTTCAGTATTTGATTTTTGTCCGGCAATCTCCTCCTACTTTTTTCAAACCAGCTGTTTGAAACTTAGTATACGTTATAATCATGATATGCCTTTTTTTCATAGCAGTATTTGATTTTTTTGTCCGAAGATTTTCTCCTACATTTTTTTATAGTATATCAGCTAACCACTCTTAGAATGATGCAGATCATATTTCAATGTAAGAAAGTATATAACACTATATAGCATTCGACGGGCGTATTTTGTTCCGCCCTGCGGTACTCTTGTTTTGTAGTATAATTAGTCCTCCATATATTCTACCAGAAAGGACTAAAGGTTTGCGGTGATGTGGGTTGAGTGTCTCACAGTCTGTTAGACATTTATATGTTGAAATGAAATTCCTCGGTAAGGAAACCCCAGACTCTTTTTGCACTCATTTTTGAATTACCGTCCCCAAAAACAAGCTGCAAATGTGAAAGTTTGTTTAAAAATGTGCGCGAAGCTCATTGCTGTCACATGTACAGTCACAACAAAAACACAGATCAGCCAGGTGTGATTAGTACATATATGAATTAAGAATGAGGTGTGACTACCTCTCCGGCTCTTCATTTCACCTTAACTTATATGTTATATAATAGGAACAGACATGGTTTTAATTACATTGTTCTGATCTTCCAGGCCTCTATGTAATTCTACCTGTTACTTAAAGTGTTTATGAATGTAAGGGTTGGTTCTGTTTGTTCTGTACAGGAAAATCCCCTGACAACATTCTGAAGCACCTGACTGTTTTGTTTGAGGAGGTCATCTGGCGCCAGCCAGCACTTATCTTGTTTGACGACCTTGATCATGTGATGCCAGCCCCGTCCGGGCCTGAGGCTGAGATGAGTGCAGAAAGTATCTATGGGGCAAGGGTTGCTGAAGGTAAGGGGTTTGATAGTAATATACCAGTACTGTAAATCCTGAAGTTATTGACACAGTTCTTTTTGCTTAAATAAAACTTCTAACTGTGCCTGTGCTATATAGCTAATTAAGTCAATATTTTGTTTCTTTTTCCCAAAATTGATTCGCAGCTTTGGCCATTCAACATTTGATTCGTAATAAATGTTAATTATGTATGTGTTGTTGTTTGAGTTTTAATAAGTCAATTTAATGAAGAAAATGATCCTGTAGGAAATACCAGTAAAACCTTTTTTACTCTCCTAGATTTATTTAATAAAAAAGAGACCTGCAGTAAAACTACAGGTATTTTGATTTCAATAGCAAGAAAAGTTGATAAACGATCCAGGATTTCACACATATTTACTCTGAGAAAACTGGTTAAGATCCATTCTGTTTTAATGTTAAAAATGATTTATTTAATTAATTACAGTGTTACGAGACTTGCTACGGAAAGAAATCAGTAATGGGAGCCGTATAGCTGTCGTAGCCACCAGCCAATCACGTAACTCATTACATCCTCTGCTGACTTCATCCCGAGGAACACACTTTGTCCAGACCGTCATTAACATATGTCCCCTTGACAAGGTAACCACCAAAAAGGAACAATAGATCCATGACTGTGTTTTGTCTGGGTTGTCATATCCAGGAAAATACAACTGTTTTTCAAGATACTGAATTGCCAACATTTTGCTTTTTGCTCAAGTTAAATTAATTACGGAATAACCATGATTGTTTTTGGCCGTATACAGTACTGTCAAACCTGTCTAATGGCCACCTGTTATAAACAATCACAACCCTGGACGTCAGATTGATATACTGTCGCTCTAACTGATATCGCAACCTGGTCAACAGAAGTATCACGGCCCAGCTTGTGCTACAGTTAAATCCAAACAGAAGTTCAGGAAAAGTTGCCGTATATATATATGAAAAGTATTATGGGTGAAATCTATACCAGACAAATATGGATTTTACCAAAGGAAAGCAAACATTTGAAGTGACAAAAGTTTCCCGGTATAAAGTGTAGTTGTTTTCATCTATTACCAGGAAAAAAGAAAAGACGTTTTGAAGACTATCATCAGGACACGTGTTTCTGAAGCTACACTGGATAAGTTGGACTGGGATTGGTTGCTATGTAAGACAGAAGGATTTGTTGCTAAGGACCTTGACACCCTTGTAAGCAGAGCCATCCATGCCTCCACCCTACATGGTCGGAGTAAGTTGACAAATCTGACCCTTGTTATTTGGAGTAAAGCTTTTAAGAGAAAATCTTGGTTTTCACATAGATGTGTTGAATTAAAAATCTGTTAATCAAGATAAAGATCTGGTATCAGGGATGCTGCTGGTTTTTAAGGAAAAATCAAGTACAATTTACAGGTAAAACTGTGAAATTCTAGACGGAACTAAAGAATCTGAAGTTCAGTTTTCTCAAAATTGATATTTAAAGTGATCTGATAATCTTTATGTGTCTGTCTTGATATGTCTATTATGTTACACATTTAAAAAAATTAAGCATTACATCAAATTTGACCTGTACTTATTTTTTTATTTTTGACATTCACTGAACTGGAGAAAGATTTTTTCTTTCTTTCTGATATTTGTTAACAACATAAAGACAATCCTTAATCAATGATTGTAATTAGCGGACGTAGAAAACAACTATTTGTATATACATTTTAGAGGATGTGTTCCATACTGATCACTGTGACGAAGACTTCCACCTAGAGATGGTTGACTTCAAACAATCAATCTTAGGGTTTACTCCCGCTTCTATACGCAACGTTCCCCTCCATACTGTGGGCGAGCTGGGCTGGGATGACGTAGGAGGTCTCACAGAGGTCAAGGCCACTCTAAAGGAGACACTCCTCCTGCCTAGTAAGGTAAATATGAACGGGTTATCTCACCTCAAACTTTGTAGACTGAAGGTCAAGGCACCAGGCGCAAATTTTGAGAAATTGTATACAGGGTCATTTTTTCTTGCCTAAAGTTTTGTGGATGTTGCAAAGCAGAAATTCTCCCCAGAAATGTTAATTTCGGAATTCTAGATAACCCAAGTTTTCTCAAATAACTTGAAAATAAATGGAAGAGGAAAATGTCTAATATTTAAGTTTTCTGAATTTGAAACAATTAAGTTGAACTTGATAAAATAATAATCTGATTTCTCCAATAAAAAGAAAACAATACCAAGAAACTGACTACACAGACCTGGAATATTTGTATTATTTTGTTGACAGTATTCAGAATTGTTTGCATCCTGTCCACTGAGGCTGCGGTCCGGACTGTTGTTGTATGGAGCTCCGGGAACAGGAAAAACTCTGTTAGCTGGAGTCGTGGCTAATGAGTGCAGCCTCAACTTTATCAGTATTAAGGTAAGATTCCTCACCTAAAATACCAGGGCGAAAAATACCACTTCAAATGTACAGCTAGAATCGTGGTCATTGCAGTGTATTACCTCTTTCAAAAGGTGACCTGCTGATAGACTGGAGTCTGTTATACTAGTTCAGCTGTCATTTATAACTATTTATATGTTAATAAAAAAGAAGAGTTTTATAAAATAAAAGCTACAAAATATAAAAATAGAATCAAGTTATTTTCGACTCTAGTTGACAGGGATTTAAGTATGAGAAAGGGTCTTAATGGCATGGGTAGGAAACAAGAGTACCGGGAGAAAACTCATATGGTCAGGTCGGTGACCACATACCTATAACTTCCGATCGTTTTAGTTTTAATACTGGGTAGGAAGGTTATTTCTACAACTTATTTGAAAACATGTGATTTTGTTACCGTAAATTTTGTACATGTATTCAGATCTGTTTAAAATTGAATGTGAAAGTTATTAATAATGAAAATACAGACATATTTAATTCATTACTTTTGATTGAGGTAGATCTGACTTTCTCGACTCTACATCAGAGATTTTATGAATTGTTGATTTCCACAGGGTCCTGAACTACTCAGCAAGTACATAGGAGCCAGTGAGCAGGCCGTGAGAGACACGTTCATCAGGTATAACACAGGAGTTCTTCACACACCAAACTCGGTCGAAAACAATCACCAATTTCAAATTTGCATTTTCCGAAATTTTTATTTAAAAAAACCCAGTTATTTGTTAATAGTTATTTGATTTGTGAATAGTTATTTTTGTGATAATTTCTTACGAAGAAGTTTTTGCAAGGAATAAATTTGCAAAAGGAGCAACAAGAGATATATGTTCTATGCTTCATTGGGGTTTCATAAACAATTTTGAGTCAGCGAGTGGTGAGTAAAGTGCATAAAATACAAACGTATCTGAAGATGTCAGGATTGTGTTGATGCATTTTCTGTATATGAAATAGAAAGAATCCTGAAAACATAGTGATAATTTTTTTTTTTACATTTATATCTATGTTTTTTTCTGAATAGAATTTCACATTATCTATGCAATTTATACTTTTATTTTTATTTTACAACAATTATGAAACAAGTAATTTCAACTTTTAAATATTAATCACTCTTGTTGGCCTGGATGTTAGCGCGCGGGGGTCTTATTGTGGGAGGAAACCTTAGTACCCGGAGAAAACCCACATAGTCGGGCTGGTGACCCCATACCTTTTCGTGTCCGATCAGGGAATCGAACCCCGGCTGCCTTGGTGAAAGACAAGTGGCTATCCACTGCACCACTTTACCAACCTATGCAATTTACAATTAGTTGCATGAATTTTTTAACTTTCTTTCATTGCAGGGCTCAAAGTGCCAAGCCCTGTATACTGTTCTTTGATGAGTTTGACTCCATAGCTCCAAGGTAAGTATTTTACAAGTGGCGTATTATAAAGTGACCAATCAGATCTGTTGTATACGAAAGGTAGTCTCTGTTGTATACAGGTTCATGTAGCGCAACAAGTGAAAAGTTTCTGTGTGACATTTTGATGACTAGTACGATATGTACCCATATATAAGCATATGAAAAAAGGGTAAAACATACTGTGTCCGGTATATTGAACTCTTAGTGTACATATGTTTCAACTTTCTTCAAGTCAAATATTCACTCTTTTGCCAACAAAATCCATGTTGCTCAGTGTTAATTATGCCTTTCACATGCAATTACTACATATTATCTGTTGTGTACTTAATTCGCTGTCATGATAAAATCGCCCTCATATGGAAGGGCAAAAAAAGGGGAGGGTTAAACTGTGGCAAAAATATCCGATTATACAGTATATGAGTAGGCATTACATTTTAGCGTACATATATGCTTTAATGGTTCTTTGTCTGATGAAGGTGACGGAGCACATTTCACACAAATCATCAAAACTTTACACATTATCCATTTCACTGGTTGTGCTATGTGAATCTATATACATTATATACTTCCCAACCTGACGAAAATATAATGAAAAATAAAGTAATCTGTACTCACAATGGTGCTGGTTTGGTTTGTGATGTTGCATCGACTATATTTTAATGTCAACAAGAACCCAGTTTTATGAAAAAATTCAAACAAATTTTAATCCTTTCACCACTGTAGACTATAATGGAATTGTCCAGATCAGTGTATGGTAGAGTTTATTAAAGTTACATAGGGGTGAAAGGTTAATCAGACCTTGTGTTAAAACCTCAATGCAGAACCTTTAATAATCAGGAAGGGCGAAATACAGAATTGTGAAGATTTAACAAAATGTTATTCAGAGTTGACACACCTAGCTTTTTGTATCTGTGTTACCTGACCTGTGCTGATTTTCCTGTTTATTGTTTGTAGGCGTGGTCATGACAACACAGGTGTGACTGACCGAGTGGTTAACCAGCTTCTGACCCAGTTAGATGGTGTGGAAGGACTGGACGGTATGTCCTATAAGTCAGATAATTGTGATAAACAATGCTAAACAGTGGTAAACAATATACTACATGTAGACACTGTTTTCCTAATATAATGATTGTACAATTATCAATGCCTGATGTGTTGATGGGGTTATAACCTGACTGGTTGGTAAACAACCCATAGTCCACAATGATATCTAATACCTATGAATATGCTGGTCATTTTCTTCTGACAAATTATCAATAGGTGTAAATGTTCGTTTAAATTAAAAGGTCTGAAAAGCCTAAAATATACCTGATTTTTGGGTCGATGCAACTGTGTGTTGTTATTGTCACCCGCTTTCATCGAAACGGGGGATATTAATTTTGGTTTGTCTGTCTGTCTGTCTGTCTGTCTGTCTGACACAATTCGTTTCCATGCAATAACTGCAACAAATGTTAACCGATTTTCTTCAAACTTGGTAGCAGGTTAAATGCCTTAAGTGCTGGACCAAGTTCGATGACCACTTTCAGTGGACTTTATTTGGCAGAGTTATGGCCACTTCAATAATGGAAAACGTCATTATCTGCAGTTTCCGCTTGATAACTCTAGCAATTCCTTCAAACTTGATAACAATGTTTGTGTTCCTCTGTGTTTCCACCCATCTCAGGCACTCTTTGGTTTTCTTGTGATAATTGCTGTAGATATTGTGCAGATAATTCAACCGAATTCCGTATGCACATCCGACTCATGCTAAGTTTGCCAAACGATGTGATTTGTGCATATAAATGGATAATTAATGAGGTTTGTAAATTCTGATGGATTAAACGATTAATTTACACCGTAATACCTTCATGTTCAATAAAAAGTCAAACTTCTGTATAACGCTTTTTTTTTTCTTGGAGTTTCAAGCTTTACATTACGTCTCAACAGCACCATACTCACATGTTTAAACCTAACCTCAATAATGTTGTTTTCTTTTTTATCCCCTCGCAACAAAAGTTCGAGGGGATATAGGAATCCCCCCGTACGTACGTACATATGTTACACTCTTTGTCAACGCTCTAGCGACTTCATTCCTCAACCAAGTTTCATGATACTTCATACAAGTGTTTGGTATGGCAATGCCTTGAACAAGTTTGCAATTCGGATTTCTACATTGAAGGTTAAGGTCACTGTTACTATTTTTAGAAAAAAACTTTGTCATCACTCTAGCGACTTCATTCCTGTTTGGAATTCCATGAATCTGCATACAAGTGTTTGGTATGACAATACCTTGAACAAGGTCGCGTTTCGGGTAACTGCTTTGAAGGTCAAGGTCACTGTTACTATTTTTAGAAAAACTTGGTCATCGCTCTAGCGACTTCATTCTTCAACGTAAATTCATTAAACTTCATACAAGTGTTTGGTATGACAATACTTTGAACAAGTTTGTGTTTCAGGTTTCTGTGTTGAAGGTCATGGTCCCTGTTAATATTTTTAGAAAAAACGTTTGTCGTCACTCTAGCGATTGCATTCCTCAACAGAATTTCATGACAATACCTTCAACAGAAGCAGTCGCTAGAAAAGTTACTGTTTCATCATTGAACTTTCTATTCATTTCCTCATACACATGGCACACAATGTGTGAATGCGAGGGGATTTGTATCACTTGTGATGCCTTGTTATGTTTTGAATTTACAAAAATATTTTGTTACCTTGACAACCAGGTGTATATGTGTTGGCTGCGACCAGTCGTCCTGATCTCATTGACCCCGCCCTCCTCCGCCCAGGACGTCTGGACAAGTGTCTTCAGTGCCAGTTACCAAACAAGGTGGGACAAATACATTTCACTTTTTTATTACTTAGTATTACCTGTTAAATATTTCTCTTCTCAAACTTACCATTTCTGTCTGTCTGATTCAAAACATAACTGACCTTTTGGTGCTTATTCATGAGGGAATTGATTAGTGTTTTATTTAATTAAAATCCATGTATTGTTTAATGTATATTTTTTTTTCTTATACCTGAATTTGTAATCAATACAGGAGTTTGCTATTGTTGCTTAACACATAATTACACAAAGTAGATATGTTGATAAATATTCAGTATTTTTTGCATCTTTTTTTTTGTCTTACCAAAATGTTGTATTCGTTAGCTGAACTCTAATAAATATTTTGCTCTTTACATATAACTCTGTTCTTTAATGATAGTGTATACAATGTTTAGATAAAAGTTTGAAGGTGGTAAGAGTTAAACACCTTCTGTGTACTACCTGGTAGTACCGTCTGAACCTTAATTTCATTGCCACGCTTATCAGTTCTGTCGGCTTGCTTATTAACCCTTTCACCCCTAGGTAACTTTAGTAGACTCTACTATACATTGATCTGGACGAGTCCATTATGATCTACAGTCATGAAAGGGTTAAGAGAAATTTGTTTGAAGAATATAGAGTATGGTAATCTAAAAAAAAAAAGAGTAAAATTTCGATTCACATTTTTGTACACCGGACTTGTTTATTCTTTGATTATTTTCACTGAAAATCATTTTCGAATAGTCATGTAGAAAACCTCTGATTTTAAGAAAAGAAAAAAAAATGAATAAATAAGATACATTTTGTATATACATTCTTGTCAGTAATTGAAACTCCTGATATTTGTCCTTAAATTTGTTTTGTTTTTGTTTTTGCAGGAGGACAGGTTAAAGATATTGCAAGCTTTGACTAGGAATATTACTCTCGGTCCAGATGTAAATCTACAATATTTTGCAGATGAATGTGAACATTTCTCTGGAGCAGACCTGAAAGCTCTTCTCTATAATGCTCAACTTGAAGCTATACATGAAATTACGGGTCGTCTTGTAAAGGGAGATAGCCAGGGTTCATCACCAAAAAAAGCAAAAAGTGACTCGGCTCTACGCTCTCAACTTGATGCTCACCATAAAAAAATTGACCTTCAGATTGCTAGTGTGGCCTCGAGAGACAGGCGGCCATCTTGGAGTTCCTTAGTAACATATATACCCAAGCTTGAGGAAGGTATAGCAGAAGTCAGCGAGGAACTGGAAGAGAAGTTGAATTTTCAGGTTTGTTGTTAGAAACACTCTTTGTTTTTGTGTGGATGAAAAAAAAATATTGAACAATTTCTGAAGTTTCTGGCTAAGTGAAGAATCATGATAAGGCAACATGTATGACCTTTTGACAAATATTTGCACTACATGTATTGTATTGTGATCTAGGGCCTGTGGACTAGCTGGTTCATCTATTTATTAATTTGATATTACAGGGAGAAAGCTTACCAGATCTACAAGTATTAATGCAGGCCTTTAAAGTCTTTGCCAAGACTCACCAGAAACAATTTCAAAGCACTTGGTCTGTCCCATTGTCTAAACAGTTCAAGTTTTTTGGAATTTGATGAATGATAGCAGTCCTAGTCACACTTGTTTATTTGTCAGGCAAAACTGCATTTGTTATATTTGATGTTGTAGAATAGACATAATTAACATATGTCTGTATGTTATGGTCGAATGTTTGACTAGAGAATTAAAAAAAAAAATGATGTTGTAGAATAGATATAATCAACATATGTCTGTATGTAATGGTCGAATGTTTGACTAAAGAATTAAAAAAAAAGTTGGAAAAAATATCAAAACTAAATCCTATTGCCCACAGTTTTTTCAAAAACATTTTTTTTTTTCTAACCCTCAATATTCATTCCACAATTATGCTTATATTGTATGTTGAATAATCCTAAACAAACTCTAGGTGATAAACAGAACAGAATCTGTCAGCACTTTCTCATATTGACATTGGTTTCTTACTCTTCAGTTGTACCTAACCCTTTCACCACTGTAGACCATAGTGGACTCATCCAGATCAGTGCATAGTAGAGTCTACTAAAGTTACATAGGAGTGACACGGTTAACAGAAAAATATCACACCTCGAGAATTCATGTAGGTTTTCCCAGGACAAGGCCCAGTATCACATGACTAATGACCAGACAGTAGTTGGAACTATCTATTCTTTAAATGTCTCGGTCGAACAGAAACCCTGGTGTATGGTTTTGATTTTTCTTGTCACAATTTTGGAGATGTGTGGGGAGAAGGGGGTTTAAAAAATAAAATGCCCTTTTTTTTCAACAGCACAAATGCATTTTTGGAAATGGTTGGTCCTAATGAATTACAATAAATAAACAAGAAATGAAAAAAAACACCCTCCTCTGTCAACAAGTCATTTGCACTTCTAAGAGTTGTCTATCTTGAAATATTTTTGTTAGGCAATGATGTGAAGAAAGAAAACGTTTCATCTGGAGTTGTCTACCTTAGACTGGTTAGGTTGGCTGTTACTTGGTAGAATGTCAGTCAACTGACCAAAATGTTGTAGGTTTAACCCTTTCACCACTGCAGACCATAATAGACTCATCCAGATCAATGTATGGTAGAGTCTACTAAAGTTACATAGGGGTGAAAGGGTTAAACCATATTGGCTGCAGTAACTGATACTGTTGTGTCTTTGAACAAGTCACTTTATTCAGCTTATTCCAGTCTACCTAGTTGTACAAATGATGTACCGGCATGCCTATAAGTAACCCTGTGAAGCACTATCAGTCAGTTCACTCCAGAGAAAATTGGCTGAAATTCTAGCTCTCTTTACCACTAAGCTTAAAAAGTCTGTGCTCTTCTGTTCTACTGTGTGTCAACAGGAGGAAATACCTGTTACCAATTACAACCACACTTTCTACTGTGTGTCAACAGGAGGAAATACCTGTTACCAATTACAACCACACTTTCTACTGTCACTTTTGTTCTGTATTATTCATGATAATACACCAGCAGGTTGTGATAGTTTTAATAATACTTTTGCTGAAGGCGTGTACTATTTGTTTGATTGTATACTGTATGTAGTGTATTGTTATAGTTGATGTATAGAGAGAACTCTTCTTGTCAGTCCTGTTTCATCAAGTGTTTGTCATACCAAATAATCTTTGAATATTCAATGGGACAAGAACGTTTGATAGTTCAGTATAACTTCATATCAAATTATCTGAGAACTGTGAATTCATCCTGACATGACAGTTTGCTAGTAAGGTAACATTACATGCCCAACAACACGTGAACCGCCGATGCATCACTGCCCAAAATTGTATCACATACTTGCAAAAAAATAAACAGCAAAATGAAAGCTGTGTACAGTATCAGGAACATTCTTAACAGATCCTACAGGAAATATTGGGAATAGATAATACAGTGTACACTTAATAAATGTATAGAAACAATTAAGTGATTTTAGGTGTCAAGCATGAGTGAGTAATCTTTATTTTGGTAATAAAATTTTCTTGATTGGTTTTCTTCAAAAACGGGAGATGCTGTCATTGCGTTTTTGGTAAATTATATAAAAACATTTTTTATCAAATGTTTAAAACAGAATCTATTTATATATCAGGTGGATCAAATCAAAGCGAGGCTGAAGGTGAACAAGTCGCTGGAACGTGTCAGCACGGCAGAAACCTTGTTCTCGCCTGTCGCCACCTCCAAGTCGCCGATGGTCCTGATCAGTCGAGCACATCTGACGACTGCTCTTACCAAAACGAGGTCGTCTGTATCGGAAGAAGAGCGAAACAAATACCAAAGAATGTGAGTATAGCCTTACAAGGTTTTGTTTTATCACTTTTTAGGCAAGTCTGTCAGCACTGCATTTCCAAAAATGCAAATAAAAAAAAAAGCTTAAGAGGGCAATTTTTTAACTTCTCAGGGGAGTACACAGCAAAAACATCAGATGATAAAAGGACGATGACGCTGAAATATGTTTAAAATATTCACTGAAAAGAAATGATAACGTACTAATTAAGGTTGGTGTACAAAAAAATGCTTGACATTGTAAGAAAAGATGGATGTTTTTTTTTCTTTCCATGCAGTATTCTCATTTAACAGAAATGATCTCTTTTTTCCCTCACCGTGCATGCCATTTTTATTTTTCAAGTTTTTATGGGAAATTTAGGGAGCATATAGTCACCACTTTGTCCATTTATGCATTTGTCTGAAATATTTGTCCGAGCCATAACTTTTGACTCACTGGAGAAAGCTCATTGAAATTTTAGGGATATTGGAAGGCGGGCGTCCTGTACCATTATTAGGCCTGTTTGCACAAGGTCAAGGTTATATTAAGGTCAAAGTTCAAATTCATTCTGGACCATTACTTCTCAATCTCACACTGCCTTACAGAAGATGGCTTATTTGAATTTGAGGGATATGATGTTTGTAGGATGGCAAGGCAGTGTGTTTTCAAACCAAATTTAGCTTCATATATCCAAGGGCATTGTCACATTGAGGTCAGAGGTCAAATATTTTGTTTATGTCTGTACTTCTGACTGGCTAAAAGACACTCAAACAAAAGTTTAGGGTTTAGGGATTTTAGGATGGGACGATGGCATGTGCTACCACTTTTTTGGTTTTTATGAGGAAGGCCATGGTCACATTTAGGTAAAAAGTCATATTAATTCTTGCTGAAGATAGCTCCATGACATTTTATGATATATGTAGGATGGGAAGGTGATGTAATACATGCAGCCCAAAATCAAGATCTCATTAAGTTAATTAAAAGGTGAAGTTGTTTTTCGGAGGCTTTTGTTTATTTGTCAGGCAAAACTGCATTTGTTATATTTGATGTTGTAGAATAGACATAATTAACATATGTCTGTATGTTATGGTCGAATGTTTGACTAAAGAGTTAAAAAAATATTTGATGTTGTAGAATAGATATAATTAACATATGTCTGTATGTAATGGTCGAATGTTTGACTAAAGAATTAAAAAAATATTTAATGTTGTAGAATAGATATAATCAACATATGTCTGTATGTAATGGTCGAATGTTTGACTAGGTAGCTTACCCTTTTTGTTGTTTGTTCCCTTCACCCAGTAAAGTGATGACAGAGAAAACAGTGGTTCCAGGTGTGATAGATGTAATGTCAAGATAAATAGTGCTTAGTTGGATGATGATAATTACCTTTGTTCTGATACTTCACACAAAATGTGATTTTCTGCTTAATGTTCCAGTTACGAGTTTAAGTATTATACAAATGTATATTTAACCTGTATAAAGTGACAAATAACATGAAATTATTTCTGTGGTCCTTTGATGCCCCACCTCCATGTGTTGAGTCAGAGATCATGTGTTGGGGCCCCAGTGTATATTAGGGGATAAATATGGTAACGATACACTTTCTATATTGAGACTTTCTTTATCAAGATAAACATTAAAAAAATACACAACTTTCAAATCCAATTAAGACATATCTACGTGTGAAGTAAAACATGTTCGTCACTGTTGCTTTTACAAGAATCTCACAATTAGATACAGTAGAAATTATACATGTATTGACTGCCTTCCAAAGGTGATAAGATGTTTATATGATAATAAAACCTACAGAACAGAACCTAGATTTTTTAACCTTAGAACTCATAATCCTAAGAACATTGGTCCATTGATCATATTTATCGATAGTATTTAAACTGCGAAAGGTTGAATCTCTAAATTCCTCTTTGAATTTAGAAGCTAAATGATACAATATTTGGTTGAAACAAAGGTTGACATAGCTTGGTGACCATCTCTACTAACGGCCTACAATCAATGTCTTTGTGTGTTTGACATCTATTGATCTCTGTATTTGTACTTGACATGTGAGCTTGGCTGACATTTTGACAGTTGGTGCTTTTGAATTCAAAATATTGACTTCTGGCCAATTTATTTGATTGTCTTAACATGTTCCCCAACACATGTGGGAGACAGTGGCAGATTCTATGCCCATTCAAATGTAAATTCAATATCAGGTTGCTAGTCAGGACTCTGATGCCGAGCTCTTCAGCAATCTTTTCTTTTTGCATTTATGTACAGTAGAGTTTAACTTATGTTGTTTTACATGTAATTAAATGGGTGGCTATATTAGAAAGATGTTGACATTCCTAGCTAGACAGTTGTTTTCACACCTCCATGTGTTTATATAACCTTTGTATATATACTTATATGTAACCTTGACATTTAGATGCAATTGGCCCCCACCCCCAAGATATCTTTATATTTAAAAATTAATAAAGTTTTGGAACCCTCAAGAATCCACCACCAGATAGCCTTTATCCCTGGATCCAAATGACAATTTGCCCTCACCCCCGTCCCCGACCCCCGTCCCCCGTCCCCGACCCAACCCCATCCCTGGTTTTGTATTTGTTCCGATAATTAAGGCAGTATGATACCATAAAAATGGTACTTGTGATTATTATAAGAGTTGTCTCCCTAATTTATAAAAGAAGCTATCATAAGCTAATTATAGGTTAGTGTTTACAGTTAATGCCTGCCATTACCGATCCCCCTAGTGCCCCCTACCCTACACCTACACCTGTCTCCTAACCAATAACTGAAACTCCCTAGCGCCTCACACCTACACCTGCCTCCTAACCCGTAACTGAACCCCCTAGTGCCCCCTACACCTACACCTGTCTCCTAACCAATAAATGAAACCCCCTAGTGCCTCACACCTACACCTGTCTCCTAATCCGTAACTGAACCCCCTAGTGCCCCCTACACCTACACCTATCTCCTAACCCGTAACTGAACCCCCTAGTGCCTCACACCTACACCTGTCTCCTAACCCGTAACTAAACCCCCTAGTGCCCCCTACACCTACACCTGTCTCCTAACCAATAAATGAAACCCCCTAGTGCCTCACACCTACACCTGTCTCCTAATCCGTAACTGAACCCCCTAGTGCCCCCTACACCTACACCTATCTCCTAACCCGTAACTGAACCCCCTAGTGCCTCACACCTACACCTGTCTCCTAACCCGTAACTGAACCCTCTAGTGACTCACACCTACACCTGTCTCCTAACCCGTAACTGAACCCCCTAGTGCCTCACACCTACACCTGCCTCCTAACAATTAACTGAACCCCCTAGTGCCCCCTACACCTGTCTCCTAACCAATAACTGAACCCCCTAGTGCCCCCTTTACCTACACCTGTCTCCTAACCCGTAACTGAACCCCCTAGTGCCCCCTACACCTACACCTGTCTCCTAACAATTAACTGAACCCCCTAGTGCCCCCTACACCTACACCTGTCTCCTAACAATTAACTGACCCCCCTAGTGCCCCCTACACCTGTCTCCTAACAATTTACTGAACCCCCTAGTGCCCCCCACACCCACACCTGTCTCCTAACCCGTTACTGAACCCCCTAGTGCCCCATACACCTACACCTGTCTCCTAACCCGTAACTGAACCACCTAGTGCCTCAAACCTATACCTGTCTCCTAACCTGTAACTGAACTCCCGAGTGCCCCCTACACCTACACCTGTCTCCTAACCCGTAACTGAACCACCTTGTGCATCACACCTACACCTGTCTCCTAACCCGTAACCGAACCCCCTAGTGCCCCCTTTACCTACACCTGTCTCCTAAACCGTAACTGAACCCCCTAGTGCCCCCTATACCTACACCTATCTCCTAACCTGTAACTGAACCCCCTAGTGCCCCCTATACCTACACCTGTCTCCTAACCCGTAACTGAACCCCCTAGTGCCCCCTATACCTACAACTGTCTCCTAACCCGTAACTGAACCACCTAGTGCCTCACATCTACACCTGTCTCCTAACCCGTAACTGAACCTCCTAGTGCCTCACACCTACACCTGTCTCCTAACCCGTAAATAAACCCCCTAGTGACTCACACCTACAGCTGTCTCCTAACCCGTAACTGAACCCCCTAGTGCCTCACACCTACACCTGTCTCCTAACCCGTAACCGAACCCCCTAGTGCCTCACACCTATACCTGTCTCCTAACCCGTAACTGAACCCTCTAGTGCCTCACACCTACACCTGTCTCCTAACCCGTAACTGAACCCCCTAGTGACTCACAACCACACCTGTCTCCTAACTCGTAACTGAACTCCCGAGTGCCCCCTACACCTACACCTGTCTCCCTACCCTCTGCACCCACAATGCACCCATCTCCAAAGGTCATCCATCTCCTAAATTCTATTCCTATATCCAAACCCAGAACATTTCCCCAATTCCTTCTCTTACATCTGATACGAGCCTACGACCCCAAACACACCTCCTTCCCGTTACTCCCGACCTTTACTTCCAACCTGATTACTCCTCCATCTACCTTTGGTCCCAAAACCTGTTCTTTGCCTTGTTAATCATGGATATACGGGTATAAAACATGATTATAAAGTTTATGAATTAAGTTTTTCTATAAAAGTGGGGAAATGTTATTGACACAAGATCAATGCATAAAGAAAGAATACAAATTTTGCACAATTTTTTTTACAATTGAACAAAGTCTACAGGAATATAAATCATATTTGTAAGTTATTATAAAAATGTTGCATTTAACAAGGGGCAAATAAGTCATATCTGTTAGTTGTCATAAAAAAGTTCTGATTTGACAAGAGGAGAAGATGAATCCTGTTTTATAAGTCATTATAAAAATATTCCCATTTAACAAGTGGGAGATAAATCTATCTGTAGGTCATCATAAAAGCAATTTGTGTAATCCTTTAATATTGAATTCAGTGGACTGCAATTATTCAATAAGAAATGGTAAAAAGGGACATCTTCTTATAATTGACATT